TCAACGCCCGGTGCAATACATTCAAGTTCAAACGTTCGATCATTTAAGTTCAAACTTCAAACGCTCGATATGGAGGATATAGGATATGGTTCAACGCTCGCCCAAACGCTTCGATGATGCCCAACAGTAAGCTGCGAGATGCCCATCCACGGGCGTGAGCCAGCTCAGTCAGGGCACCTTGTCTCCACAGGCACTGGGTGGAAGACTTGCGAGAGACACCGAATAGTTAAGGCCCGCCATGTTCCCGGGCCCCCCGAATCCCCCAAGCGCGCCTGAACCGCCTGGCGCGCGCCCGCGCTGACGCGGAGAGGACTGGCGCCGGCCAGCCCCCTGGGCGAGTTTTGGGAACGAGGGGCGCAATAATTTGTGAGAGCGCGGGAGGGGGGGGGGGGGGGGGGCAGATCCCAATGGGGGCATTGCCCTGGGCATTGCCCTGCAGAGGGACACCAAAAACTGCAATGCTGCATCAGACAACTGCCCAAGATGTCGCGGGCATAGGTGGCCGCGCCCAACGGCGGTTCTGGAGCTGCACTTTTCGGCCGCGCGACGCAACTGTTCAGGCTCAGGGAAAGACAAGGATCTTAGATGGTCAAGCGTCGGCTGCGGGAAAACCCACCGTCGATAATCGTTGCTCACTCCCCAAATATAATGGCGCAAATTCTTCTGGAAAAGAAAATGATGACGAAAAGGGGGCCCGACTGGGGCGGCAGCGTCAAGGTCAGGGTCAGCATCGAACAGCTGGCTGGGGAACTTGCCACGGGTAAGCCTACGCGCAGCAACTGAACCCTCGGCAATTTCGGCGAGCACCCAATCACGCCACTGCTGATGCCGCGCCTTCGATGAGGACGTTTCGGCACGCAGTGCCATTTCGCCTAGCTGGGCGGCCAGGGGGCGGATGGCGCGTTCAGGGGGGGGGGCGGGGAGGTAACGGACTTGCTTGCGCCACCAGTCCCACTCTGGTGGGCAGGACCCCCCCTAGGATTCGGTCGATAACGCCGCGCCTTGCACGCGCGCTGATATGCATGTGCACGATGACGCCGGGCCCGGTAAGGCGCAACCTCACAGCTAAATACCCCCGTGCGCGCCCTGCGAAGGACGTTAGGGGATGGCCCCTACAACGCTGGATCAACGGCACGTCTGCGACCCACGTCTCAGACAAAACCGGAGCCACGCGATGCCTTAAGAGCAGCTCGTGCGAGGGCAACTTCAACCATCGGGAGGCCGCATCTGCTAACATAACTACCTGCGAAAACAATACTAATTGCAGGGAGCCTTTCCCAAGAAACAAGCACTTCAGGATCAAACCCACTGGGAAATGTTTTGGGATCCGTGGTGGTCGACGAATCATATGTATCATGCGCTTCCATAAAGACCCTGACAGAGTCAATGCAACCGGCTCGTGTTTCGAGATCGCTGCACTCGGGCGGGCCGCGCGCGTTGCATCCTCTGCGCGAAGCTGGCGGACGACAACATAATCATTACATGAATGGCCCACTCCAGAGATGTTTGTCGGCTGGGGGTGCGATGACACATCCATGGGCAAATTCAAGCCATCTCGATGCTGCTAACTCCGCCGGCGACATCAGCTAATCGCCGCCCTCCACGAAAGGAAAAGCCAGGGCGCGTAACACGACAGCAAAGTGTAGCTGACGCTGCGCGTTCTTGGCCGTCGTTTCCTCATCTCTTCCTGTGCACATTTAAAAACAAAATAATGGGGCACTCAACGGCACCACTCCATGCCATGTAGCACAAACAACCCGCTCTAACGGCGGCAATTGCTCCACTCCGAGCTGTAAGGCCGCATGCCATAGACCCAAGAGGACACCACCCCTACTCCCGCCGACAGCCCTCTCAATTGGTGGCGACTGAGGGTTTCAGGATGGAGCGGTCGCCCCAAGATGTGGCGTCTGACAGGGCGGCATCTGCAGCCGCCTCGCTTGTCACCAACTCCTGCACCAAATAAACATGATAGGACGTCGACCTCAGCAGCTCCCGTGCACGGGACCATCGGTACGAGACCTGTGTTGCATCACAGCAGCAATTCGGCCCCTGATTTTCGTCCTGAGCTCGGTTTAGTGAAGTGATGAATTTCGGGGTCCTTGCATGCGAAAACACATCACTTCACTAATCTGGGGCCCCTGGGCCCTCAGTGGGCCGTGGGGCCCAAATTTAGTGACGTGATGGTTCTCGGGCCTCGAAATGTGGTAACATTTGCACTAGCTATAAACCAAGAGCGAGGCCGCCGCCGACACCGATGACGACGTTGGCGCCGACGGGGGACAGCAGACACACTGCCTCTTCCTTCACAAGGGCCTCCTGGGCACAGACTGTCACGGGTAGCTCCCCCACCTCCACCTTCCGAGACATCGGATTCCATAGACTCTGCCAAACCAAGACAATGAGAACAGGTAATGGTGCTGGTCGTCGTCTACAACCACTCCTTACGTATAGGTATTCCTCCTGCGACGGGAACTGCCACTAAGGCGCCTGTGAGGGCTACCCCCCGGACCCCCCAGCCGGCGAGACGGCTCCAGAATTTACTGCATAAGCCGAGCCTTGCACACGGCGACGACGATTTCGCTCTCACGCGGCAATGTCCATTTCAGTCTCGGATAGGGTGTGGAGTCCATTGGCTACCGCATCTTCCTGTTCCTCTTCCATGTCATCCTCCATGTTGAAAGGTCCAAAGCGATTCTTACGATCTGGAGCCGATCGTGCGCAGCGTCACGAGGAGCAGCAACAGCATCACGAGGCTCGCGAGCACGAGTGCGACCTGTACCGTTGCCCTTCCCCCACGCCCCCTTTCCAGGGACCTGCCAGGGTCCACCCGGGTCCTGGGGAGGTGGCGCATCCTTGAGGCGCCCCTCCAAAAATACGAGCGCGGCAACCAACTCTGGATCTTCCTCCTCGTCCCCATTTGCTCTACCCAGTCGGAGGCGGTGTCAGGCAAGGTCAAGGTCCGAATTAGACGGGGAAGACAAAGGGTAGCCCTTACGAAGCTCCTCCTGTTTCGCCTCCCAATCCTCCAGGTCCAGCTCAAGGGTGTCCCGCTTCATGTTGAGCTTCTGGATCCTCCCGTCGAAGTCGTTAGCCTTGGCCTGAGCCTCGCCACTGACAACAATGGTGTCCTGGATAACCTTTTCAACTTTGTCAAGTTTGAACTGCTCCAAAAAAAGTGTCTGAGCCGCGCTATCAGACAAGACCGGTGGAGGCAACAGCCCAGACTTAGCGGAACGATGAGCATCGAGACGAGATTTAGCGTTCTGCATAAAGTCGTCATGGGTACCAGCTCCATCAGTACGATTAGATATCATATGAAAGTCACGGAGATGACGTTCGGTCGAAGCGATCAAATCCGATAAAGAGGCGCAAAGAATTGCATCCTCATCGGTGAACCCGACATTTGTTGCTTCCTACTACGGTGCAACCTTACCGGAACGGGACGTAGCCCGGTGGCACCGTCCACGGCGAGACGCATCGTCATGCAAATTGGAACCACGTCCGCGTCCCGGGAAAGGCGTGGAGCAGTGCTTGCACGATTCACGAGGGTTGGACTGCCAAATCCATGAGTAGCCCCGGCACGTCGGGCGGACTAAGTATGTTGGCATCTGATCGGACAATCAGGCGCGCCGAGGATGACCCCAAGCTGGGTCGATCTCACCTCGGGACGGGGCGGCGCTGGACTCCTGGCCAGACCTTGAGCCCGAGGTTGGAAGTTAAGGAACAGGCCCCTAAGGCCGAAATGGCTACGGAGGAGGAGGAGGAGGACCAGTGCAAACCCAAGAGTCATCAACGATGTTGTAATAAACCCTCCGCCCAAGCTCCCGCATCATAGGCCCCAACAACGGCTCACATCCACTGAGGGAACTGCATCGTTGGAAAACATCCGTTTGGATATCCTGAAGCATGCCAGAACATTGTTCTCGGGACTTCAAGGCCATGGATCAATTTGAGTGTTGCGTCTTGACGATCCGGAATCGTGCCAGAACGCTATTCCTGGGGCTGCAACACCACGAATCAATTTAACTGTTGCATCCTCATAATATCGAATCCTTCCAAAACAACATCTTTAGTACGTTGACCATTGGAACCCGTGAAACTCCTACAAAAAGTTTAAAACGGATGTGCGCGGCGCTAACGCGAGAGCCACACGATTGAAAACCAGTCGCCCTCAATCCGTGAAACTTTTGCAATTCTACGCATGTGCGCGGCGCTAACGCGAAAGCCACATTTTGAAAACGACCCGCCCTCCATCTGTGAATCTGTTGTCATTTTTAAATTTCAGGGTCATGAATGTTGAGGAAATCTGAAGCGGAACGCCCGGTCCGCGCTAACAACTGTCCTCGGGGTGCGACAGGGAGAAGTTTTTCATAAGGAACAGGAATGGAGGAGGAGGAGGAGGAGGAGGAGGAGGAGGAGGAGGAGGGGGAGGAGGAGGAGGAGGAGGATGAGGAGGAGAGAAGAGGAGAGGACAGGAGAGAAGAGGAGAAGGAAGAGGAGAGGAGAGGAGAGGAGAGGAGAGGAGAGGAGAGGAGAGGAGGAAGAGGAGGAAGCCTTCAGACCCCGTGCACCCAACGCCTCTAGAGAGCCTGGAAGGCCGCCCCTTCCGAGCCAGGCCGACTCTCGCGCGCCGCTGGCCTCCTCGGCACGCGCTCTCCGGGCACCCGGCGATGCGCTGGATACCATTCAATCCGCGGCCCGCACAGCTCCAGACCACCTCCCCAAGGGGCAAATCTCCCACCCCTGGACCGCACATGCCCAAGGTGCCCAGGACGGCCCACAAGAGACCGAAATGGACGAGACGCCCCGGGGGTGAAGCAAAGGATCCTTCGGAGACCGGGGCCTGGCGCCCCCAAACGGACCCCAGACATGTCCCGGGGTGCGCTCTGGCCAGAACTTCAAAGCGGGCCGGGCCGCGGCGACGAGGACGCTCCAGGGGGGCCAAGACGCCCAGAAATCTCCTCGACCCGCGAACCGCGAACCTCGATCCCCAGCGGGACCTAGGTACTCGCCCGTGCGGATGGACTCCACGTACTGCTGGTGCCGAAAATTTTTCGGGACGTAGCGGGCTGGCCCCTGGGCGGGAGGCGCTGGGGCGACGAGCTCGGGATGAAGAGGGAGGAGACGAGGCCCAGACCCCTCGCGACATGAATCGGTTACGACGGGAACTTTTTGACATATTTTTGAGTTCTGGGGAGCCCGGCCGGGCCCTGGGACCGTGAACGAACGATTCAGGATGAGAAGCGGGCCGAGGGAAACAGGTCTCAACCTCCGATTTCGAACTGGCGGCGGGGGGGGGCCCCATTCAAAAGGGGTGGAATCAAACTTGGGGGGGGAGGGGGGCACCCCCTTGAAGCGAAGGGGGAGGGGGGTTCCCCGAGTTGCAAGGCGGGGGATGCCCGAACCGGCCACCCCTCCCCCTCTCCCCGTGCGCGTCGTCGTTGTCGTCGCTGGTCGGTCGCCGTCGTCGTCGCCATCGCCGCCACCATCGCCGCCGTCGCCATCGCCGGCGCCGTTGCCGCCGCTATCGCCGTCGCCGTCACCGTCGCCGTCGTCGTAGTCGCCGTCGCCGTCGCCGTCGTCGTCGTCGTCGCCGTCATCGTTCTCGTCGTCGTCGTCGTCGTCGCTGCCCGACGTCGCCAGCGCTGGCGCCAGCTCGCCGTCGTCGGTTGCATGAGTGCCCCGCCCCGGTTCGAACCCCCGCCTCCCCCTCCATCTAGGGGGGGGGCCCTGTGCGCGTTGTCGTCGTTGTCGCCGTCGCTGTCGCAGTCGCCGCCGTCTCCGCCTCCGTCGCCGTCGCTGTCGCCATCGCCGTCGCCGTCGCAGTCGCCATCGCCGTCGTCGCCGTCGTCGTCGTCGTCGTCGTCGTCGTCCGAAGGCGCTGGCGCCGGCGCCAGCGCTCCCTCTCTTCGGTTGCAGGGGGGTGCCCCCCTTGTCGTCGGTGCCCAACGGCTGGGGCGCTCACCGTCCCCCCCCCCCTCTGGTTCGAACACCCTCCGCTGCAACTTAGGGGGGGGCGGCAACCCCTCCTTTGTTAGAACCCCTCCATTGGGGGGGAAGCCAGTTCGAACCACCCCCATTGCATCTCAGGGGGGGAACCCCCCCCGGTTCGAACACCCCCCTCCCCTCTCAGGGTCCACAGATACGCGCCCTTTCCAACCTCGAGGGAGCCCATCGTTGTGAGAAAAGATCAAGAAGTCGGGGGTCTGGTGTTGGTGCGGGTGTCCGGCCGCCAGCGAACTTTTGGGGATAACATGTGAAGCACAGGATGGCCGTGGACTCGAGACTTCGGCAGAGCCCTCAGCCATACAACCCCGCTTCCCGAGCCTGGCCCCTAAACGACGGACGCCACAAAAAATGATTAGGAGAGGAGAAGGGAAAGGAGAGGACGGTGATCTGGAAGACGGGAGGTCAGTGTCGAGCTCCCGCTGATGCTTCTGAAGCAGGCAGCCAGCCCTCCGCAGGCGCCGATGTTGGGTCAAAACGCTGTGGGTGTCGCGGGGAGGTGGGCGGGCGGAGCGTCGGCGGATCGCAAGGCTCGAAAGCCACGTAGCAAAACCCCGCCGCAGACGCCGACTGATCGTTTCAACACAGCCAACCCGCCGCAGCATACGGCGCTCTTCCAATCCAGCGTGGGCGGGTCACTGGCGCGGGTCGCGGGCGTGGGTCGCGGATGAATCGCGGGTGGGTCGGGTGTCGCGGGGCGGGTCAGGGGTGGGTGGCGCGAAGTTCGCGAGCGGGCCGCGGGCCGCGGGGCGGGTCGCGGGGGGGGTGGAGGGCAGGTCGCGGGGCAGGGGCAGCAAAAGCATGAATCTGCACCACGAGATCCCACTTCACCCACGCACCCGAGTACAATGTAAGGCGTCCTCACTCTGACTTGCATGTCAATCAAGCCTAAGACAGAACAGCATCTTTCAATTCATGAAAACCTCTTGCCGGCCAAAGTGAATAATATTCGAAGGTGCCCTCCACCAGGATGCACAGGTACACGCAACAAGCACGAAGAACATCAGGGCAGCCTCCCGACCCGACCTCGATCCAATGCTTCGGTCCGACCGTACTCAGAAACAGAAGCCGTCCGGACCCAGACCCCACCGTTCTCGCTCCTGGAACGCGGGCGAGGGCAGGCGCCCTCCTGACAACGACGCAGCGCCGCGCAGCGATCCCTGGTCCACCCCTGCGCCTCGCGCGCGCCCGCGGCGGCGGGCGCACGGCCAGCGCGGCGGCGGTACCCTCGCACGCTGGCGGAGGTACATCTCCTCATAGCGGGAAGGGGGGGCAGAGGTGCTACCAGCAGAGCGAGAGGGGGCCGAATGGTCACTCACTGTCCCTAGGCTCGTTGCTCAAGTGAGGTTCCGCGGTGCGGAATGATATTGTTGCGGAACTCTCAGTTGGGAAAAACAGTATTGCTGTTCACCCCCCCTTCGGTAACAATTCTAGTTGTTCAATTGGAAAGCCCCCCTCTGGGGCTCGCACCCGGTTTTTTCAAGGAAAATGAGGTGTCACCAAACGGCCCCCCTCGCCCCCGAAGTACAACAACAACGGCTCCCGCCTGATACTGCCTCACAAGTTCTTATCAAATTGCGCTCTCGCGCAGGCCGTCCTAAGACATTTTGCTGGAATCGCGCTTCCGCGCTGGCAATTTATTCAGACACAACGCCCTCGACACTCAGGAATTACGCTCTCGCTTTGGCCTTTCTCACGATGAACTTGGAAATCGCGTCATCGCGCGAGACTTCCTCGCGATTCACGCACGACGCACGCTTGAGCAACCCGCGTGCTCGACCTGGCAGCCTTGGCCCGCCTTTCCGACCCGCCTTTTAGGGCTTGCCCGCCCGATCTGCCCGTCTGGTTCTGCCACGTGTTTTCTGTTCCTAGCTCCCGTTCGTGCTACTCTCCCTCATGTTCCTCCCTCCCCCTTCCATTCATCGTCTGTCCCCCTGTTTCAGAGCCTGCGAGAATTGCACGTGACAGGTACGGAAATATACACCCAAGGGGTCACGATCAAAGACGAAGTTGGCGGGCGCCGAGGTTTTGGGATATACGCGGATAGTGGCACGCAAACAGATAGGAGCGAACAGCCTTACAATGATCAAGTGTTGGTGTTGCTGCTGTTGCCGATGAGGTCCCAACTATGAAGAATATTTGTTGTTGAGCCCCCATGCTCGGTAACCATTAAATGTTTCAAAAGAAGTGCTTCTCCTGAAGCTCGCACATTTTTTACCAAGGACAATGAAGTGTCACCAAACTGCGCCCATGGCCCCTGGCTTACAGCAACACCAGCACCCGCCTGATACGCCCTCGCAATGTAATAGCAAATCGCGCTCTCGCGCGGGACGCACTCACAATTTACAATAATCGCACTCTCGCTTGAAACCTTCTCGCAATGTATTCAGGCGCCGCGATTTCGACACTCAGGAATCATGCTCTCGCTGTGGATTTCCTTACGGTGTATTCAGGAATCGCACTGTCGCTAAAGACTTCGTCGCGACTCATGCAAGACGCACGCTTCAACAACCCACCTGCTCAACCTGGCCGCTTGGGCCCGCCGTCCCGACCCGCTCGTGAGGGTCTACCCGCCCGATCTGCCCTTCTGATTTTGCCTCGTGCGTTCTGCTCCTAGCCCCCCTCCTGCTAGTTTTTCTCGTGTTCGATCCTCCTCCCTCCCCCTTCTCCTTTTTTCCATACGTCATCTCTTCCCCTGCCTGAGGGGCTGCACGACATACACGCTGCAGGTAAAAAGGATACAGACCGAACCCCAAGGGGGCACGATCGAGGACGATGAAGGCGGGCACCCAGGGTTCGGGAAACACACGTTGATTGACGGGCACGCGCTCAAGTGCGAACAATATTAGAATTAGTATTGCTGTTGTTGCTGGTGCTGTTGCTGTTGAACTCTCACACATTTAGAATAAGTAGTGTTCATCCCCCTCTGGTGACCATTGTGTTTTTCAATTGAAGTGCTTCCTCCGGGGGTCGCACCCTGAATTAATCAGGGAAAGTCATGGGGCTCAAACTGGGTCGTTCGGCCCCGGATTACAACAACAACGGCTCCCGCCTGAAAATTCCTTACACTTTAGCCAGGACCCCCGCTCCCGACTGAGATTCCCTCACATGTTACTCAGGAGCCGCGCTCTCGCATCGGACTTCCTTACGCTTTATTGAAGGATGGCTCTCTCGGCGCTCTGGAGTCGAGCTCTCGCTGGAGACTCGCTTGCAATGTACTAAAGAATCGCGCTCCTGCGTTGGAGCTCCCTCCTATTTTCTCCAGCGCCGCGCACCCGACACTCAGGCATCCAGGGGTCGCGCTCACGCTTGGGACTGCCTCCTCACAGCTTACTTATGAATCGGGATATCGCTGCCCTTTGTGGCACGTTGCAACCATTCGTGGCCCCCTCGCTGCCTTTCGTGGCCCCCTCGCTGGCCTTCGTGGCCCCCCCTCGCTGGCCTTCGCGGCCCCGTTGCAACCCTTCGTTGCCCCCTCGCTGCCCTTCGTGGACCCGTTGCGAACCTTCGTGGCCCCCTCGCTGCCCTTCATGGCCCCGTTGCAGCCCTTCGTGGCCCCCTCGCTGCCCTTCGTGGCCCCGTTGCAGCCCTTCGTGGCCCTCTCGCTGCCCTTCATGGCCCCGTTGCAGCCCTTCGTTGCCCCCTCGCTGCCCTTCGTGGCCCCGTTGCAGCCCTTCGTGGCTCCCTCGCTGCCCTTCGTGGCCCCGTTGTAGCCCTTCGTGGCCCCCTCGCTGCCCTTCATGGCCCCGTCGCAGTCCTTGGCGGTCCCCCCGCTGCCCTTCGTGGCCTCATATGTGCATGTCCTTCGTGGCCCCCGATTGTTCGCGCCCGTCGTGGGCCCATACGCATGCGCTTCGTGGCCCCGCTATCGCCCTTCGCGGCCACCTCGCTGCCCTTCGTGGCCCCGTTGTTACCAGCAGTGTCCCCGTCTTTGCCCTGTGCGGCACAATGCGCGCACGCCCTTCGTGGCCTCCGCCCGTTCGCACCCGTCGTGGCCCCAAACGCATGCTCTTCGTGGCCCCGCTATCGCCCTTTGGGGCCCCCTCGCTGTCCTACGTGGCCCCGTTGCTGCCCTCAGCGGCCCCGTCGTTGCCCTGTGGTCCCGCATCTTCTGCTCTTCGTGGCCCCCGCTCGTTCGCACCCTTCGTGGCCCCATACGCGTGACCCTCGTGGCCCCGCTGACGCCCTTCGTGGCGCCCTTCCTGTCCTTCGTGGTTCCGCTGTCGCTCTCGTTCTCGCTCACGCTCTCGCTTTCGCCCGTCGTCGCCGTCGCCGTCGCCGTCGCCGTCGCCGTCGCCGTCGCCGTCGCCGTCGCCGTCGCCGTCGCCGTCGTCGCCGTCGCCGTCGCCGTCGTCGTCGTCGTCGTCGTCGTCGTCGTGGTCGGTCCCCTGTCCGTCCTCCTTGAGGTCGGGCTGCCGCCGATCAGCGCTGCCGCTGGCCAGGCCGACGGTCCGCGGCCGCCCCGCCGCTTGCCGGGGCCCAGCCTGCAGGGAAGAAATAACCACCCCCCAAAATGGGCAAGCTCGAAGGCGAAGCGGGCGGGTATCGAGAGCTTGGGAAACACACGTTGGCGGACACTCGAGCGGACAATACCGAACAATCTTAAACTGATTGCTGCTGTTGTTGCTGATGCTGTTGCTGATACTGTTGCTGTTGTTGGCTTTTCCTAGAGGATGATGATTGTTGATCCCCCATCCTCGGCGCATTGAACGTTTCAATTAAGATGCTCCTCCCGGGCTCGCACCCAAAGCTTCTACAAGGGGGGAATGGGTGTCACCAAACTGGGCCCCTGGCCCCCGAGCTAAAACAACAACGGCTCCCGCCTGATACTTCCGCATCATTCACTATGAAATCGCGTCTGCGGGATCGCGCTCTCGCGCGGGACTTCCTCACCATTTGTACAGGAATTCCGCTCTCGCGTGGGGCCTTCTCGCAATTCACTCGGACGCCGCGCCTTCGACACTCAGGAATCACGCTCTCGCAGTGGCCTTTTCTTATGATCTACTTGGGAATCGCGCTCTCGCTCGGGCTCTCCTCGCGATTCATGCAATACTCACGCGTCAACAACACGCCTTTTCGATCTGGGCGCTTGGGCTCTGTTTCCCAGCCCGCCCGTTAGGGTCGACCCGCCCGATGGACCCGTCTGATTCTGCCACGCGCTTTCTGCTCCTAGCCCCCTCTCTTGCTAGTCCCGTGTTCCATCTGCTGCCTCCCCATTCCATCCGCCCTGTCTTCCCCAGTCTCAAGGGCTGCACCAATTACGCGCAGCAGGTACGGAAGATAGAACTCCAAGGGGGCACGATGGAAGACGAAGAAGGTGGGTGCCGAGGGTTTGGGATATACGTGTTGAATGGCACGCGAGCAGGCACGAGCGAACAATACTAAAATCATTGTTGTTGCTGCGGAGTTCTCACTACAACATAACAGCTAGTGATGATCACCCCCTCCCGAAACCATTCCAATGTTCAATTGAAGTGCCCCCTTCTCGGGGCGCGCACCCTGTTTTTTCTATCAGGGGAAACGAAGTGTCACTAAACTGCGCCCCTGGCCCCCTAGTTAAAACAACAAAACCGGCTCCCGCCGGATACTTCCTGACAAAGCATTATCGCACCGCGCTCTCGCATGGGAGATCCTCACAAATCATGCAGGAATCGCGCGCTGGCGTGGGACTTAACCGCAATGTAGTCAGACGCCGCGGCCCCGACACTGAGGAATCGCGCTCTCGCTGCGAGTCGCGCTATTGGGCGAAAGTTCCTCGCGATTCATGCAAGATTCACGCTTCAACCATCCCCGTGTTCGACCTGGCCGCCTGGGCCCGCCTTCCCGACCCGCCCGCTGGGGTCTACCCGCCCGATGGCCCCGTCTGGTTCTGCCACGTGCTTTCTGCTCCTAGCCCCCCTCCTACGAATCCCGCATTCCATGCTTCTCCCTCCCCCATTCATCTGTCTTCTCTTCCCATGCTTCAGGCACGGAAGATATGAAACATGGGGGGGGTACCATTGAAGAGGAAGAGGGAGAGTACCGAGGGTTTGGGATATATGATATATACGTGTTGAATGGCACGCGAGCAAGTAAGGACGAACAATATGAACATGACTGGTGTTATTGTTGTTCTTGCCTTGTTTGTTGATTGTTGTTTGTTGTCGTCGTCCCACCCGCGACCCGACCTGCGACTGGGCCTGCGACCCACCCACGATCCACCCGCGACCCACCCGCGATCCACCCGCGACTCACCCCGCGACCCACCCGCGACACACCCGCAACCCACCCGCGATCCACCCGCGACAAACCCGCATCGCCTAACGAAAAAAGTCGGCTCCTGCGGCGGGCTCGTCGTATAATGGCGCCTGCGGCGGGTTTCTTCAGAGCCACATAGACTGCCGACGTCCCCGCCGCCCCCCACTCTTATCTGCAACTGCGGGAAGGATAATACCACACTACCGTACCCTGACCCCTGACAATACAGAGGTGTAGGGGACCGGGGTGAGCGGCAGGGCCACTGAGCCTCCTCCTCATCTTCCTCGTCGCTGGTGCTCCCTCTTCAGCGCGTCCGTCGCAGCCCCCTGCGCTAGCGTCGCCACTTTTCCAGAGGAGGAGGAGGGGGAAGGTGCTGATGACGTTGGATGTTGGTTATTGTTCCTGGTGGTAATGATGCTGCTTGTGATGATGATGCTGATGCTGATGGTGGTGGTTGTTGGGTGTTGGTGATGGTGGTGATGATGAAGATGTCGATGCCGATGTCGATAACGATGATGGTGATGCTCATGATGATAAATACGGTGCTGACGATGATGATGGCCGTGATGCTAGTGATGATGCTGATAACGATGACGATCATGACGATCAAGATGATGATGATGATGATGATGATGATGATGATGATGATGATGATGATGATGATGATGATGATGATGAGAGGAGGAGGAGGAGGAGGAGGAGGAGGAGGAGGAGGAGGAGGAGGAGGAGGAGGAAGAAGAGGAGGAGGAGGAGGAGGACTATTATGATGATGCTGATGACGACAATGACGATGACGATGATGATGTTGATTCTGATGACGACGATGACGATGCCGATGATGGATATGATGATGATGATGCTGGTGAGGATGATGATATATATATATATAGTGATGATGATGACGACGATGCTCATTCTGATGCTGATGTCGATGACGATCATGACGATGTGATGTTGATGATGATGATGAGGAGGAGAAGGACTATCATGATGATGCTGATGACGACAATGACGATGACGATGCTGACGATGATGACGATGATGATGAGGATGATGAGGATGATGAGGATGATGAGGATGATGAGGATGATGATGATGATGACGATGATCATGGGGAGAAGAAATCCGATGATCATCTGGATGAGGATGATACGCATGCAAAATTTCCATCTTTCCACGCTCCGCCCCAACGAATTCGACCACCCGGTCGGACCCTAGTCTGGACCCACTCACCGGGACTGGTGCTTCGCACTACGTCTATCTTGCCGACGTCCTCAGGGCCAGCCTGCCATCGCTCGGACATCCATTCCCCGTGCGTTTCTCGGCTTCGTACATTTACCCTTTCGCAGGATGGTCCAGGACGCTATAGGATGCTCCTCGACGGCCCCCGCCGAGAACAAATGCACGCGTCCGAGCGATGCCAAGCCAGGACATGGCCCCCAGAGGCTAGCACTGCCAGCGCGCTCTTCCCGACGCGAGGACGTCAGGGCCAACGGACTCCCTCCACGGAGCCCCGGACGGGCTCAGCTCTCATATGGTCTGCGGGGCTGCGGCCCGCCCGGCCGCCAGGCGACCTCCATCCCAGACGCGCCCCTCGGGCGCGAATTAACCGGGGAGGCGATAAGTTGGGGGGAGAACGATTCCCTTGCGGGCCCTAAAAGCCCCCTCCTGGGACCCGAAAGGGCCCCTTTTCTGCAGCCCTCGCTGCCCCTGCACGCATCGCCCCCCCCTCCCAATTCGCGTCCTCCGAGCCCTGCGGCCCAGCGGGCTCGCCCGGCGTGCTCACCGAGCGGCGCCTGGCCCAAGCTACAGTGGCGGGTTAGAGGCCTCGGTCCGATCAGATGGGGTCGGGGGATCACGCCGCATCGCCGATGCATCGCCGATGCTTCGTCGACGTAGGCCACGTATCGGCGACGTCAACGTCAAGAAGTTTTGCTCCCAATCGAGCCGCATCGCCGATTTGTCGGCGAAGCATCGGCGATGCGGCGCGATCCTCCAATCCCATCTACTCGGGCCCCATCTGGGAGGCCAAGACGGGTCCAGCGGAGCTACAGCGTCTACGCGGGGACGGGTGCCATCTCCTCAGGGGCTCGTGGCGCCTACCGCCACCTAGAGGGGGTACGCTGGGAGAGCTAACTTACCCTGTGCCCGCGGGGTTGGGGATGGTTCTGACGATGATGACCTCATCCCGAATCGTTTTCTGACGGCCCTGGGCCCAGAAGGGCTGGCCCAAGGGGCTCGCCTCCTTCGTGAGGGAAACTTGTCCTGAGGCTCTCCTGCTCACCATGAGGCTATTTACTGGAACCCTGAATCAGACATGTTGCCATCTCTTGGGGCGCATGGCTTACTTCCGCCGGCTTCCGCGGGCCTCCCGTCGGTGGAGCCACCCTCGTTCTACTTCCGCCGCCTTCTGCCAGCCCTCCGCCGCCTCAGTCTCTCTATTCCTCGAAGACGAGGCCCTCTTTGGAACGCGACTTGAAAAAGGGTCCCGCAGGAACCCCTTCAATTCATGGCGACCCGAAGCGGCGTCCTTGGGGGCGGCGACGCGCGATTGAGTCTGTTCGCGTGGGTGGGCGTGGCACTTTATCGACCGGGCGGGCTCAAGGCGCGGACGACCCAGCGCTCCCCCCGGTGGCCTCGAGCTGGCCCTTGATCTGGACCTTCCTCTCCGGCTCCAGGATGTGCGGGTGGTAGACCGTCCACGGCACCCCTGCGCCAGCGAAGGGACGGGGGGGGTCCGAGAACTGCGCACGCCCCCTCCTCGCCAGTACCCCTCAGCGCCCTTCTCCTCGTCCTCCTGCTCCTGGTCCTCGTCGTCCTCATCCTCCTCCTCCTTCTCCGCCTCCTCCTCCTCTTTGTCCTCCTCTTCCTCCCCCTCCTCTTTCTCCTCCTGGTCCTCGTCGTCGCCGTCGTTGTCCTCCTGGGCCTCCATATCCTCCACCTCCTCGCTTCTCCTCGCTTCTATCCTCTTGTTGGTGCTCCCTGTCCTCCTCGAATTCGCCGTCTACCCCATGCTCCACCTCGCCGTCCTTGCCTCCGTCCTCACCCTCAGCCTTCTCATCGCGTCGCCCTCCGAATTCTACATCATCACTATGCTGGTCATCATCTCCATCACGTTCCTCACCCTCATCGCTCTCGTCAACCTTCCTCCTCTGCATGGTGCCCCTCGCTCGTCCGTCCCTTCTCTCCCTCGCTCGCGCGCTTGCGAGCGCGTGGAACGAGGTCGCCGCCGCCGCCGCCTTCGTCGTCGCTGTCTCTCGCTTAACAAACAAATCAGCTCATCGTGGTTGCATTGGCGTGCTGAATCTGGATGGCGGGGCGCCATCCGGCTCGATTCGCGCGCCAGGGACGGGGGGGTCCATCGCCGATCCAAGCAATCTGTGCGGGCCTGTGATGTTTTAGCATCCTCTTCGGCTCCAGTCGGCGGGGCCAGGCGCGCGCTCTCGCAGGCGAGCGCGTCGAGAAAGGAGCCTTGATCGTGAAGTCCTGGCTCCGTTTCCGGACGGTCCCATCCCTGGGTCCGTGGAGGGCCCCAGGAGTCCGAAAGCGGGGAGAGACCTCAGGACCCGCTTCCCTTCGAGGTCGTCGTCGTGAGGCGTTCTTCGTCGGCGTCGGCATCGGCGTCGGCGTCGGCGTAGGCTTCGGTCGTCGGTCATCCATCATCGTCCATCGTCGTCGGCGGCGTCGTCGTCGCCGTCGTCGTCCGTCATCGTCCGTCGTCGTCGTCGTCGTCGTCGTCGTCGTCGTCGTCGTCGTCGTCGTCCGTCGTCTCCGTCGTCCGTCGTCCATCGTCGTCTCTCGCCGGCGGCGCGCGCGCGCGGTCGGGCGCACCGAACCTGGAGCCTTTATGCCGTGGCCCCAGCGCCGGCTCACCAGGGTCGCGCGCGGGGTGGCCGCCAGCGGCGCCCCGCCTCGGATCGGGCAGAGGTCCGCCTCGCCCTTCCCTCCTTTCCCCTCCTCCTGCCAGAGAGCTCCTCCGCTTACTGGTCCTCCTTCCTCCTCCTCCTCCTCCTCCTCCTCCTCCTCCTCCTCCTCCTCCTCCTCCGCCTTCTCTGCTTCCATGTGTGACTAGCCCTCCTCCCCGTCTTCGTAATCATCCTCATCGTCTTTCTGCGCCTCGTTCAGTTCCTCTGCATGCCCATCCGGATCCTCCCGTCCTCCTCCCCACCAACCTCCTCCTCCTCCTCCTCCTCCTCCTCCTCCTCCTCCTCCTCCTCCTCCTTCTCCTCCTGGTGTCCCTCCTCGGCGTCATCCCCTCCCCATGTGAGGCCTCCTGGCCCTCCTCTGTTCCTTCGTCCTCGCCGTCCTTGTCGTCATCCTCCTGCTTCCCCTCGTCATGCGCTTCCTCATTCTCGTCGTCGTCGCCAGGTCTCAATTCCCGGCGCCTCCTGGGCCGCCCTGGCACGCCTCGCGCGCCGATCCGAGAAATCACAGACATCCGTGAGGACCTCTGGCAGCGCATGCTTTCGCAATTGGGCCTTCTTCGACCTCTCAAGTCAGCGGCGCCAGATCACGATGCCTTTCGGAGACCTCGCAAGACGAGGCCTTCCCGCGGGAATCCAGCCCGGCACCCCTGGGGGGCGCGCCGCCACATCCTCCCACAACCGAGCTAGCCAAGAACGAGGAGAAGCTGCGGGCCCAGTGCGAGCTCCTCGCGGAGGCCACGAAGTCCAGTTTCGAGGAGCACATGTTGAAGATCTGTGGCCAGAGTTTTGGTCCCCAGTCGGTGGCCGCTGCACCGAGTGCAGGCTCAGAGGTGGAGTCGTACCAAGGTATGTCGTCAGAAGGTGGCGCGACTACTACGCTATTTCCTCCGGTACCACCGACGCCACCAACCATGCCAGGTTCGTTGTCACATGTGGCGAAGGCCTGGCTCCAGAGCCTCGTCGGTATGGCGACGATCCCTCAGGACCAGTCCAAGGAGAGAATCACGAATTTCCTCACCGAGTGCATCTCCAAGGACAGCGAGGCGAAGGAGAGGGTCAGGCTGATGATCGCATCGGTTGACGTCGGGAAGTCCATCCCGAGACACGTCAAGCAGCGGGCGTCCCGCGCTGCTAACATCCTCTACGGACCCGAGTGGCATCAGGCAATGTATCCGAACGAGAGACCACGCACATGGTGGAGTTTAATGAGGGACATGAGTGGTCCCCCAATGGCATGCAATTCTACATGGTCTTCTCCGTGCTCCCCAGCCTTCCCGTCTACGTCCAGCTTCAAGTCTCCGTGTGGTGGTCAGCCTCAGTATATCAATGGCAATTGGGCGCGCGTCGACGACATCCAGCGTTTTGGCGGCAGCCCGCCTTGTTTTTGAAGGTCAGTCTCCTCTCCGCGTTCAGGGTCAACAGAGCTGGGCGTGAGAATCATAATCATTTTCTGTGTATTATGTGGTCTGGCTGTGTACGTACTATGTTATAAGGCTTGCTGGTCGCTCTCAGGTGTTTCCCCTGGTGAAGAGTTTGGGTCAGATCCAGATGTCAGCTACATGGGTTTCGCGGCATCAAGCCTATCGTCATCGACAGTTACAGCAGAGATGTGTATCGGTCCCCTTTCACGGCGATCACCAGTGTCGCGCAGGCCTGGTGGACCCTGCACGTCACCCGCCGCACCGAGGCCAAGTACGTTCAGATGCTCGCGGACGCCTAGGCTTCCCCTCCAGGATCTACAGCCTCGAGGACGAGGCCGCTCTCTCGGCCTCCGCCAGCCGTGCTGCCGCCGCCGCACTCTCGTGGGCGATCCGCTGAGGCAGGAGTTGGAAGGAGGTAGGTGGATACCCCTGGCGTGATGTGTGGTCAGACTTTTAGCCTCCCACCCTGAATTTGGGGCACTCCTCCTCCTCCTCCTCCTCCTCCTCCTCCTCCTCCTCCTCCTCCTCCTCCTCCTCCCCCTCTCGAGTCGATCAAGTTAGTCATATTATTTCGTGTTCATCCCCTTCTCTCACAGCATGTGCGTGCATTTCCTGTCGTTTGCCGCTGCCACTGACGTTCAAGCTCGGGTGAGTCAGGGGCCGACAGCCCACACACGGTGCTCACAGTCTCAGACTCGGACCGTCTCGCCGAGCTGCGTCCAGGAGAGAAAACCGTGCAAGACACCCCATTAACCTCCGCCCATTGTACCCTCCTCCTCCTCCTCCTCCCCCTCCTCCTCCTCCTCCTCCCCCTCCACCTCTTCTCCTCCTCCTCCTCCTCCTCCTCCATTACTCTCTCGTGTTCACGCCAAACCTCTGACGTCAATTCCTCACAGCGTGGACCCCGGGAGGTCTCGGCCCTTTTCCCGTGAGCGGCTGTGCGTCCTGAGCCGTCGTTTGACGGTCCCGGGTCCTGGCGAGGGCCTCCGAAACAGGAGACAGCTGACAAAAGAAAAACCCGTCGTGTTTTTTCTCCACGACGCGAGGAGCCCTGGGCCCCCCCCAGGGATCCAGGCAGGCCGGCAGGCCGAAGAGGGGGTCCAGCCGCGGCGACGAAGAGCCCGCCACAGGCCCCCAAAAGAGACGAACCTCGATCCTCGATCCTCGATCTCGCCCCGACCCTCGACCCTCGACCCTCGACCCTCGACCCTCGACCCTCGATCCTCGACCCTCGACCCTCGACCCTCGACCCTCGATCCTCGGTCTTCGAGGGGAAGCCCAAGAACGTCCCGACCCTCGGTCCTCGAACCTCGCAGCCGCCGCCCCCCCCCCCCTCCCCGAGACAGCCGAGGGGCCCTGGCCGCCTGCGGCGGGGGCGACTGCGGCCGCGGCGGGCAGCACCCGGCGGCGCGAGCCCACGAGGGCGGCGGCCAGCATCGGCCTCGCGACCCCTCCTTCTGAAGTCGGCCTCTCCTGCCCCACCTGAAGGCGAAGCCAGGACGAGGATAGAATCGGGCGAGGATGAATCGAGAACCTCTGAGATCCAGCAGTTCTGGAGGGTGTCTCGGCGCCGCGGCCTTCTTAGAGCGTTCCGGAACGCTCTGAGAGCGTTCCAGAAAGATCTGGAACGGATGTATCCCAGTCCCCCAGCCTGGCTCCCTCACCTCCCCTCTCGGCCAGTTCTCCTGCACCTATCCACTTCCCTCTCGGCCTCTCCCCCTCTCTCCCAGGCCTCCCCCCTTTCCGCACCCACCCGCTCGCTCGCCCTGGGCCTCACCTTTTCCACCTGCAGGAGGCGGGCGCGGGGTGAGGCGCCCGACCCCCTCACGTCGTGACATACACACACACACAATCTAGGGGCGATGCGTACCCCTCCCTTCTCCTTCATTCCTCGGTCGTTGTTGCCTCCACCTCCTCCTCCCCCTTTCTTTCTCATTATATTTCCATCTTCCTCTGTGCCATATACCTCGGCTCGAGAGTCTTCGGACCCATGGCGCAGCCAAGACACGAACGCCAGTGATAGCATGGCGAGACAGTCCACAGGACCGATTCGTGTCACATCCTCGTTCATATTCCCGCGCGCGCCGCAATGGTTCCAGAAAATCCTCGCCGTGCGCCTCATGTACCACCGCAACCCAAACCACCAGGCAAATGCCGCCCAAAGGCGACATGGACGGGTCGGCAGGAGACCGACATAAGTCGAAAGGAAGCCTGCGTCGCAGCACTCCAGAGCAGCGGTGGCGTCGACCGAACACTCGCTGCTTACAGCGAACGTGCTCGTAAACACGCAGTTAATCTCGACTACATCTACCAACAATGCCGCTCCGACAAGCATAGGCTTAGGGACGAGCTCATGAAACTGTGCGGGAAGAGTAAAATCAGCTAGAGATCGTTCTTGTATTCATTGGGGGTATCGCGTGTTACCCCGGGGGGGAGGGGGGGCGCGGGCGGGAGGCAACTATAACGGCGGCCGCGGTGTGCACTCGCAAGGGTGGGTCCGAACCACCAACACATGGCGGGTTCCCGTTTGTTTTGTTACAGGCCTCGTGATCCCCGGTGTCCCCAGCACGGGGGGAGACCCCAACAAGACCTTCCCCACGGCCATTTTCAAACGGGAGACCCGTACAATGAGTTCATGTCACCAGCTACCTTGCATTTTGATGCTAATTTGCACATGCTCCAGGTAAGGGTCTGGGCCCAAGGTTCTCTTTGCGTTGTCGGGCCGTTTGCCCTAGACTAGAGGGGTGACGATCAGGAGAAGGAGGAGGAGGAGGAGGAGGAGGAGGAGGAGGAGGAGGAGGAGGAGGAGGACGTCATTGGGACGTCTTTTGGGGTGGGGGGCCGCGTATCGCGCCCCCCCGCCCTCCAGGCGCGGTGCGAGGCCGGCCCCCGCCCCCGCGCGGCCGAGAGCCCCGCGGCGCCGCGCGTCCGCCCGCGCGGCGCGCTCTCGCCTGCCAGGCGGCGCAGCTCTGGCCGTCCGTCTCTGATGACAGGAATATCCACCCCCGTCCCCGATCGGTGCGCGGAGGGCCCCTGAGGCCCCAAATGCGGCCTCCGAATGGGGGCGGGCGACGGCGATACTCAGCGGGGGGCTTGCCAAGCGGGCGCGCGCCGCAACGCCGTCGAGCCCAGGGCCGATCCATCGGGGAGGCAGCGCGCGGAACGAAGCGCCCGTGAGGGGTCCGATTGTGAGGGGTCCGAATGTGAGGGGTCCGAGTGTGACGGACCCCGAGCGCGAGTGAAACCGCGCGTGAATGAAACTGAATGCGAGTAAGTCTGAGTGCGGGCGGATCTGAATGCGAGTGACCCTGCGTCGACCGCACCTCCTGCCTCCTCCTCCCCGCCACCGCCGACGACCCGAGGATGACGACGGGGAAGAGGAGGGCGATGGGGGAAGGGCAAGGGGGGAAGGAAGCTAAGTCGGCATGGAAAGGATGATAAAGGGTAGGGGAAGGGAGCGGAAGAGGGGCAACGGGGACTGGATGAGGAGAGGGAGGGGAGAGCTGGAGAAGAGATAGGGGAGGAATGGGATAGGAACCAATGCATTTCCCAAGACATCGCGGCCGCCACATCTGTTCGCGTTTACACACGAGGACGGGCAACGGGCAGGCGCGCAGCGTGCATGCCGACCGCATCGGCTGGCCACATCCGCTGATGAGCGGAGTGCATCGGATCGCCTGGCGCCTTGGACGATGAGGAGGACGAGGGGGGGGGGGAGGGATCCTCCCTCCTCCTCCTATCCCCCCTCCTCCTCCTCCTCCTCATCCCTCCTCCCCTCATCCTCCTCCTCCTCATCGCCTGCCCTCCCCCTCCTCCTCCTCCTCCCCCTTCATCCTCCCCGTCATCACCATGCCCCCCGCCCTCCGCCCCCTCTCCCACTATCCTCCTCAGCCCCCATCATCCACCGAAGCCTCTACCACCCTCCTGCCATTCTTCCTCCACCGCCTCCTCATCATCATCATCCTCCCCCATCCTCGTCGCCGCCATCATCATCATCAGGCGGGCGCGGGGCGACTCAACGAACTGCGCTCCGATAGACTCGAGCGCAGCCGCTGAATCAATGCTTGATCTTCTCCTTCTTGACCTTCTTCTCCTTCTTGGCGTCGCCGTCCTGGGATTGCGGGCGATGGGGAGGGGGGGAGGACCCCTCAGCATTCTTCGTATCATCCCCCTCCCCCACCAAGCCCCCCCATCCCCACGCCGCCTCATATTTCCATCCCCATCCCTCCAAATCCCTCCCCGTCCCTCCCCATAGCTCCCCCCCCATCCCTCCCCCTGCCTCCCGCCCTCCCCATGCCCCAGCATCCCTTCATAACCCGAGGTCCGACGCGTTGCTGCCGCTGGCCTTCAGGACGCGCTTCACCTGGGCGGGGTTCGGCACGTCCTCGAACCTCGCGAGCTCCTCCTTAAGCGCCTTCTCGCACCAGTCGGTGAGCAGCAGCTTCAGGGCATCGACGGTGGCAAAGGCGATCTGCTGGTCCTCGCGCACCGCCGTGTACGCGTTCCCCTTCCACTGGTACGCCTCATCCAGGATCTGGAGGGCCATGAACTTCACCTCGCAGATGTCGTGCAGCCTCTCATGGGTCTGCTTGGTCGCCATCGGGCGCAAGCGCACCAGGTCGTAGGCGTTGTGGCGGCCCGCCCTCAGGTCAATCGCCCTATCGCCGCTCTCGCCATTGGGGAAGACTGCGCAGATCGAGCGATGGACGTAGTGGCCAGGATAGAAGCCGCTCGCATCAGTCTCCTCGCCATGCGCACCAAGCAAGATGTCCCTCGTCCACTTCGCGAGCCTCTCGCGCGTCGGCGGCACCGCCCAGCCGATGAAGCCCTCGCCGCCGTCCGTGTCGCTGTAGCACCAACTCGGGCCACGGAGCGCGCACCAGCCGTAATCCCAGGAGTTGCACAGCGACACCTTGCCCGTCTTCACCATGTCCTCCAGGGGGGGGGGCGCTGCCCATGGGCCCCCATCCCAAGCAACCGTAATCCCCATCCCCCTCCCCTCCTACATCCCTACCCGTGTGCCCTCATCCCTACACTCCCTCCCCCTCCCCATCCCGTCCTATATCACTCGTCGGTCGTTTCCCCCACTGGTCTGAATGGGTCGCCCATCCCGAGCGAGAAGAACACGCTTTCTGTGCAAAGCGCCAGGGGCGAAGGGGAAATGACCAACAAAGCTGGCCAACCGAACAACCAATGACATCAAGGTCGGGAAGGGCGGCGCGTCCACGCTCAAGCCCATCGAAGGCAACAGACGAAGAAACTAACTGACGATAGGGGGGCATCCAGATCAACAGTGCGACCACAACAAGTCCTCGATGTCGGCCTGCTCCATCCTCTCGCGAGGCCTCCAGAAACCGACGGGGAGTGCCACCACCGACATGGCCGATCCAGCCGCACGCCGCGTCGCGGGCAGGGAACCCCCAACTGACCGCTCTCGCGACTAACTGGTGTGAAGTCCCAGCTCTAGAGCCACGCGCGGCGACGAAGTGACCATGCCCTGGCACAATGAATCCCACCAGCTCTCTGAAGTGACGGGGTTAAAGGTGTTAGCTGTTCCAACTCCCCTGCTTCACCTCCCCGCGGGCGCGGGGTGGGGGGGGGGAAACGTGTAACCCCATGTCTGATCACCCTGGGCAAGTGCCAACCCCATGCATCCACCTCCCTAACCCAGTTCGAACCGCCCTCCACTCCTCGCCCCCCTCTGCCTCAGATCACCTCCCCGCTAGTCCCTTTCCCCCCGCCTCGCCCAGCTTTTGCCACGCCCCAAAACTATCGGTCACCTCTCTCACCCCCCCCAACCATCCCCGCCATGGCCCCCGAAGAGATCTCATGCCCTGCCACAAAAGGCGTCCAGGATTCCCCACACCCAGGAGGCTATGGGAAAACCCGAGAGGTCTGGTCCCCCCACGTCCTCGTCTCCTCAGCTGCATACTACTTGGCCCCCCCGCCACCAAGCCGCGCAGGCGGCGCCGGTTCTGGATGAGCTGGATGAGGGCGCACGAAATGGGAGCAATGGCGCCGTGAACAGAAACGACGACGCAGGCAAAGCAGACGTTTCAGTGCTCTCCGAACAGCGGAGCGGGGCGGGCTTGACTGAGAGCTCTGGCGAGCGCCAGCGTTGACACCGAACCAACTTGGTGTAGGTCTGGCACCATGTGGGCATCAGTCTCCATAGGTACATACAACACCAGTACTATGCACATACACACATATGGCCATACAGACACACATTGTTAGACACCAACTAATCACCTGATTCCATATCACACAAGCCATCGTGCGTATGATTCGTTGCAAATGTATATATCACATACATGCGCACCATACTAATCCATAAGTGCATACCACACGTAACGCCCCACACGTTCTTAAACACATAATACATCGAACGCGGGCGTTTGCGCGGGCCGTCGGGAGCGGTCTCAGCGGATTTACAA